TGAAGGCAGCCACGTCAAGTTTTCAACACCATTTAGTAGATAAACTTGATTCATGATTCTTTTACTTCTTCCTGCAGAGTATGGTCTTTGCTGTCCAGCATTCAACAATTTCTTATGTACTGTAGACGGTCCTTTAATGGCACCAATAGCATTGACTCAGATACTTTACCCTAAAATTTAATAAACATTATTTCTTACCTTGTACGTGGATTGGGCACAGGACAAAAAGAGATGGAAGTAATCATTTTAGCTATTATTTCCCTCTTTCCTAAATGTGAGGTCATTTTGTTGTGACATTCACATCTAACTTAGCCCATTTTAATTGAGCAAACGTTTCTCTAAACATTGTTTATATGCAAAATGCTTTACAAGATGTGGGGGAGGGGATCAAAGATGAGATTTGCACTGTACAATTTATTTTGGGAGTTGCTTCTCTGTGGACTCTTTATTTATCCTCGTGTTAATTTTAGAGAGTTTAGGCCTAATTATAACACTGAAGTGCTAGCGATGTGCTGATTCCACACCCGGGCAGCCCCAGGAGCCGGAGACAGCTGTGCCCACCCAGGATCCACAGTGACAGGACGTTCGCAGCCCGAAACCCCTGCCCCACCACAGCTCTTAATACACAGAAACCCGCAGTCCAGAGGTGTACAGCATGAACAAGGCCGCTGGCATCCTGATCCCTGCTCAGGGACCTAAGTGACGGCAGGCTGGTTTAGCCTGGAGGCCCCGCATCAGACCTGAAGTAGGAGGGTTGCCTTTATTCCCTGCCAGTTGATTATGCTTTTCTGGCTCCACGCTACTCACCATCCTCCAAACAGTATGTATATTTAGAGTTTAAGTGACCAGTAAGAATTCATAGCTATCATTTGTTGAGCAGCCTACTAAACGTTTCATATGCATCATTCTATTTAATCTTTCCAAACACTCTGTGAAATAGGAACTACTGTTTGACAGATGAGGAAACTGAGGCTCAAAGCCAATTAGAGGGTGGCTGATCCAAGATTCAAACCCAGCCTTGTGTGCACCCACAGTCTAGTCTATAAACTAAGAAATCAACCATCTTTCTTGTTATACATGACAGTAGTCCTGTTCTTAAAGAATACCTTCCTTAATGTACCCACTTTCTTTTCTTGTTAGAAGTTCTCTGCCTTTCAAATTAATTACTGAACTGTGGATTTTGATTTGTGGATTCATGTTGTTTAAGAAAGATTCAAAATTCTATAAGCTGAAAAGCTTCAGGGATAGCTTCTTTTTCCTTATTTCACAGATGGTTACCACCCCCACCCCCCCATCAATAATGTAGTTAAAAAGTAAAAATTGATAAGTTGTCTCCACCCAAACAGAAGCTCTGAGAACAGCACTAGGGAGTTCTGTCTATTGCTTTTTCAGTGACAAGTATTGCTGGAGAGAAGACAATGACTTTGCCACGAGTTTCTGCTTCACTTTCAATGATCAATTTTGAGTGTTTTCAAGACCAAAGAACAAAATAGTGAATGTGATAATTTAAAAATAACAGCACAGCCCTGGCCAGTTTGGCTCAGTGGTTGGAGCATCAGCCTGCGGTCCAGAGAGACCCGGGTTCGGTTCCCGCTGAGGGCGCGTACCTTGGTTGCAGTTTGTCCCCGGCCCTGGTTGGGTCTTGTGGGAGGCAACCACTCGATGTGTCCCTTTCACATCGATGTTTCTCTCTCTCCCTCTTCCTCTCTCTCCCTCCGACTCTATCTGAACAAAAAATGGAAAAATGTCCTCAGATGAGGATAAAAAAATAAATTAAAAAAAATAAAAAATAAAAGTAACAGCACATTGAGGTCTATTGCACATGTTTACTATGACTCAAGGGATTTAAAAATTATGCTGCAAAGCTGGGAATACGGTTAAAATGACTTTTCACCATGGAGTGATAATCACACATAGAACAGTATGAGCAGCAAAATTTGGATAAGTGAAAGAATAAATTTTGATGTCATTATTTTCTACACATAAGGAAATAATTAAATATTTCTGATTAAAAAACTAATAGCAACAAGAAATATCCAGGCCTTGCTCTAACTGCTAGGTTATTATTTCTACTGGGAATTGCACAAGGGATATTTTTTTTTTTCCTCTAAATTCATCATTACTAGTATTTTCCAAAGTAGTTCTAGTTTGGTTACTCCAACATTCTATCCTCTATTTAGCATCTGGAATTTATTAACTTACTACTTTCAATAAATAGATGACCTATGAGTATTTGAAATGTTTCTATATTGGTGATATGGAAATGGTTTATAGGTGTTGGGCTTCCTGTTTTGAGGAGGTTGCCTAAATTAAGTATTAGGTTAAGAAAGAAAGGTCTAGTCCGTCTTATCCTTTTCTGAGAAGAGCTTTGTAGAATGAGAGTCAGACTTGTCTTCAGCCACTCTGCCTGTTTTTAGTTCTTTGAACAAACCTACTGGCTTTCTGCCTCAGGACCTTTACATATGACACTGCAGCTGAGGAACTATCTCCTACTACTCCTGCCTACCTCAAATCTTTACATGATCAATCTTTTCTAGTTTTGGTAGACTTTAATATTTCATTTTCAGAGAGGCTTACTGTGATTATTTCACCTAAAGTAGGCTCCCTTCTTTATCATTTCCATTCTATGTACTTCTTTTTCTTGATATAATGCTTGCTATAATTTTTACTATATCATAATTTGTTATTGTATGTTATCTATTACTAAAAGCAGGAAACATGCCTGTTATTTTCACCTGCATAGATCCAGCAGCCATCCATTTAGTAGGTGTTCAACAAATATTGTTAAATGAATGAATGATTATAAGAATGCACCTGAAGGAAGAGAGGGCAATTTGATGAAGGGAGGATGCTAATCTGGCAAAGAGATGAGTATGTAGCAAATAATAAATTGATACCGGGAAAGGGTGGCTAATGGAATAGTTAGAAAGTGCTATACTGACATCAGGCAGCTGGGAACAAGTTGTAAACAGAATGAGTGTGGAGAGTATTGAGAATAGCATTGATGTCTTATGTTGGAGATGACTAGTAATTTGATTATTTAAAGAAAAAGGAACTCTATATTTTACATTGTGTTAAACTCTAGCTATTTTGTTTAAGCATATTTTACCAGTGGCAGACATGGACATACTTTTATATGTCTTTATATTTACCACAGTGTCTTGCAATGTCTTATCCTTGGATAGATGGATACCATGAAATGCTCATTACCTGAATCAAAGAAAAATTATGAAGATTTATCCACTGTAAAGAAGAGCTGAATTTTTATTTTAGCTTAAGATAGTGTGTGAGTTATAATTATCAAGGGCATATACCTCCTCAAACTAGCAGATACTTCCTTACACTTGTTGCAGACTAGTTTCCAGTCTACTGGACTTTTAGTTTATCCTTGAAAGAGAGATGACCCTTAACGAATCTCTTTATTTTAAAGTATTATAGAAAATTTTGTATATGCATATAGCATGCATACATGTATACATACTATATATTTTTGATGTATCGGTTTAAAATCTCACAAACTTTCCAGTCATTCTAATGACTTCTCTCTATCCTTCAAACACATTTATTGACTGAGCTTGTGTAGCTATTGCCTTACCTTAGTCAGACGGGAATTAGTTCTTCTCATGCAAAGAGCACGTAGTATATGTACACATCATCATAGACACATTGAGTAATATGTTCCAGGTAATTTTCAAGCACAACTCCCAAACTGAAACCGAGGTACGTGCCCTTGACCGGAATGGAACCTGAGACTCTTTGGTCTGCAGGCCGACGCTCTAACCACTGAGCAAAACCAGCCAGGGCTAGATGGAGTTTTAATATACACCTTATATTCATGTTTTTCAGAAGTAAAAATATAGGCAATGACTCACTATATAATGCTGAATGAAAACATCAGGGTACTAAATAAATGCTATCTGATTTTATGTATGAGAACGTTAGACTCAATAATAATAGCTTCTCTAACAACCCTTTAACTTCAATTTCCACTGCTTAACACAATGAATTCTTTTTTTTTTTTTTTTTTTTTCATGACATAGTCTAAGGCAGGGTGGTGGGAGTTGTGAATTTCTCTGTGACTCCAGCCAGCTCAGGATATGACTTCAAGATTGCTAGGATCTTGCAGCTAGCAGAAGAGGAAGACAGAAAGAACATGAACAGGTCTTAATTTCCGTGGTCCACAAAGGATGCATCACTTTTGCTCACATTCCATCAGGAAAAGCCGGGCCCGTGTTCTCTCTTCCCTTAACTGCAAGTGGCTGGCAGCGTAGTTCTGTGAGCATCAGGGCATCTCATCCTCAAACACATTGGAAACAATTCACAAAATTATGAGCATCTCTTGTGAGATTGTGACTTTTCTTTTCCACTTTGTGCTATTATTTTCTGAATTTTCTAAAATAAGTATAAATTTAGTTCACAATGAGATAAAACGATAAACATTAAAAAACTGGAGGCACGGTGTGAGGGCCAGCTGCTCATTTTCTTTCGGGAGAGGCGGACTGGCCGGGGCCCTCACTGCAGGGTACGTTTCAGTGCGGCTCTCCCTTAAGAGGCTCTTCAGTTGCCTGCCAACATGACAGAAAATACATGGAGCACAGTGTAAGGAGGACCTCTCTCTATGCCTGGGTGATTTGGATATAATATTTATCAGTGCTGATCACCTGGATAGCTTTGGCTGATCTGGCTGGCTTGGGGGATTTTCCATTCTTCCTTCGCTGTTCCATGTGTTTCCTTTCCAAACCTTCCCTCTGTCCAGGAGAACAACGTTTTCCACTAGCGGAAGTGGGAAGGTAACAATGCAAAAGTTCTCTATTTTCACAGTCTGTTAAAAAGTCATTCTTTAGAATAACCACGTGTGCATGAAGATGTAGGTTGCAAATTCATCTTATATAATGTTGCTGAAGTCTGATCGATTATTTAAGAACTAGTAATGATAGGCTATGCAGAAATGTAGCGTGTTCACTGCCCTTTTTAAAGACTGCTCATTGAGAGTGAAATACAAAGTAAATAAACACTGGGAGAAAACTATAATATCTCCGGTACGTACATTTGCTTCCATATTTTATCTCTGGCTTCCACTCTGGACAGTGAACTATAGAGATGCTTCTGTCACTAAGATCCTTTTCAACACTCACTATTGGCTTCAAAGTTCAAGTCTTTCAATTCCTTGACTGCACTTATTTTCTGTTTCATTGCATGCCACTTTCTTGCACTTGTCCTGTTAAAGAGTCCACCATAGCTATTTAATATTTAAACGCTGGGATCGTTTTGCAGGTTTTAGTTTAAAGGTAACCATAGCACACACACACATTCATTATTAACAGCAGAGATGCACTGTAAGTTCTTGGGAATCTTCTTTCCTTTCGATGTTAGTTTCATATGAGTGCTGCCGTCACTAGAATTAAGTTCTGATATTGCTATGTGGCAGGTGGACCAGTGCGATAGCAGGGGATAGAGAATTATGTGAATGGTTTGTGTGGGTGGATGTCACCATGCTCAAAAGGGAGATGAAGCCGGAAAATGACAGGCCACGGAAAGTCCGGTTTCGGATCGCGTCATCTCACAGTGGGCGAGTTCTGAAGGAGGTGTATGAAGATGGGCAACCGTCAGGCTCTCTGGATTCTGAATGTGCCAGTATCTGTGGCATAGATGGACTAAGTGAGTCTGATGGACAGCAGAATGGCCACATAGGATCAGAAAGTGATGAGCATGAGAACGACCAGGATAACTTGCTGGTGTTGGCAAGGGCTGCCAGTGAGAAGGGTTTTGGTACAAGAAGAGTCAACATTTTAAGTAAAAATGGCACTGTCAGAGGCGTCAAATACAAAGTGAGTGCTGGCCAAGCTTTATTTAACAATTTGACCAAAGTATTACAGGTAAGTCATTGCCCTTTGCTCCTCCTGAACTTGTTCGTAACTCACCATCTCAACACTACTCTGTTCTCCAGTTTAAAGCAAGCCTCTCTTATTCATGACTCCTACATACTTCATGAGTCACTTTCCCTTCTAAGATACTGTCTCAACAACCACTGATTAAAAACAGGGTTATTGTGCTTAGCAAACTAGATTCACTTACCAAAACAAAATTTCTACCATTTAAGGGCTCTTTTCTTCCAGTGCGTAATGAGGAAAACAGCATATTTACTTCTTAGCCAAGAAAAAAAACAAAAAAACACACCGTAGTGTTAAAAGCATCTGAGAAAAACTTAGAAGTTAATTTCTGGTTTATCATCTTTAAGACACCAGTGTTTGTCATCACCTGTATAGATATTTAAACCAGAAAAAGATTGAGTGCTGTATTCAATGGGGTTGGACTCGGCTGGAATGTTGTAAAGATACAAAGGTGAACTTGGATGTCCATTCCGGAAGAGGTGGCAGGTACCTCTGCTCTTAGGAACTCTTAGATTAGGATTGAAAAAGTTATTCTTCTGTAAAAGTATAGACTGAAGTCCAGATTTTATAGTAAAATATTACCCTTAAAATTTAATGATGCTGCACAGGGATGTAAGAATGTATTATTTAAGTCCTGGGTCTTTGGCAATGATGTAATGTTAAGACAGTTTTTAAAATTGCCTGGAAGCAATTGGTATAATGATTTTCTGTTAAAATAAAAAGGCATAATATTTCAGGAATGTAATTCATAATCACTATCATTAAGGTAGCAAACCAGTATTTCTCATCGTAATACCATTTTATATTTTTCTCAATATTTAAATAAAATGGTATCTTGTGAAGAATCATTCAATGCCTTGACATTATTTGAACCTGCTGGACTGGTAGAAAGAAAGTCTTTTTAAAAAGGTACTTGACTATTTTTTCATTTCAAAGGAAGTATTCGAAAAGATCACACTGTGAGGACTTTAAAAAAGAAATTAAAGGGTAAAAGCAGTTAAGATCAAAGGTTATTTTGATATATAAAACCCATGAAGGATTTCACAGATTAAGGGTGGGGTTGGGGAGCCAAAACTCAGAAACAGATGACTATGGTTTATTAGGTTGGAAACAATATTGTATAGATTTCTAGATATGAGATTATTAGGTTGAAATCATTTTAGTGTCCTCTATATTTCACCCAATGCAGAAATTACTTTTGCCAAGAGATAGACCAAGACTGTGTAACAATTAAATTAAAAAATGGTTACATTCATTGTAATTAATATGGCTTGTCATGATTTGAAAGGCTTTATGGTTTGGAGCATTATTTACAAAACTGCTATACCAATTTTAGTACTTTGATTTGAATTTGTTCAAGTCTCCCAAAAAACTATTGTTTTTGAATGACTCTTCAAAACCTACAAGAGAAAAACTTTTCCTCCTTATGGCTTTATTCTTATGGTGGCATAAATTTGTAGATAGAAAATGGAAAAAATTCCAAGCCAAAATTTTAGTGCTAGATTTGCTTATAATATTTACTTACATATTTTTCTTTGCATAATTCCATCACAGTTTTTGAGGAGAGAAAAAATTCAATGAAACTGTCATTTTCTAGTAATTTAACCCCATTCCATATACCCTCTACTTTAAGAAGAAAATACTGATTACTAGTAGAGGTCTCTGCAAGTCTTTAATATTTAATCAGTTACCCCCCAATTTTCTCCCTCTTTCTTTATAATGTGGGTAATCAGCATATTGTAGGTATTCATAAATTTTGGCCATCACAATCAATTTCATCATCATCACCATTGTTATCATCAGGGAGTGTTCTCTGATCTTCCCAGGATAAAACATAAGTTAAAAGGCTTCCTACTTTGGATCAGGGCTGCAGTTGATATTTCAAGGGGCTCAATTCACATCATTGTCTGTATGAACAGCACCCCCTGAAGTTGTGCAATATAACCTACAAAGCCTTAGGTAGAGAGCTGAACTTGGATACTTGCTGCTTGCTAAGGAAAATGTCATAAACAATGATAAATGTCTTAGGCATGTGTCTTAGGATGACTGAGTAGGTTTCCACATGCATGCCACAATGCAGTAACAGAGAAGTCCTAGGAGCTAAAAGCAGAAGTTACGTTTCAATTCCTCCCCAAACATGGTTATGGAACCAGACGAGACTCTTCCCTAGATCTCTTTACATCTTCCATATCAGTTTGCATAGCAGCAAACTTAACTAGATGTAACTGTAACTAAGCCATTTCTCTTAGGGAAGAAAAAGTGAGGAATTGTATCTTGGATATTTGATTAAGGTTCCAATGCACAGGCAATCTTATTGAAGCAAGGAAGTGTGATTGAAGAAGCAGTCAGGTCTTTCTTCTTGTTTTCAGTTATAAAATCTTGAAGCACTCAACTTGAATCTTGAAACTCTAAATATAAATAAAATCTTTCAAAGACCCTGTAAATCACTTTGCTTCCTCTCAGTTTCCCATTGTGTTAGTCCTGTCTCATTCAATGTTGACACATGCCAAGTAAATGTTTCAACTGTGCAGAGAATAGTCATTGGAGATACTTGCTTAAAACACTTTTACTTCTTGGCAGCACTTATTTAGAAAGTTGTCTATAAAAGAAATATTAGAACAAACTTTCACTTGATTTATCAATTAATTTACCTTATAGAATTCTGATCAATTGAGGATGTGCAATATTAAACAAGATTACTAAGGGTAGTCATGGACCAGGAGGTAGAGAGAAAGGTCACCTGTAAGCTCAGGGGGCCTTGTAGCAGGTGGTTCGTTGATTCCTTGGTGAATTGCTGAAGGACCTCCAGCTGGTCTAGATTATGTCTCTTCAGATCCAGATGCTTGCCTTTTCTAGCTCTTATAGAGATGACAAAAATTTAATGCTCAAGAGAGGCTACTTTGGAAATCTGAAAACTGGAATCTAATAGTGGCCTGGATATAGGCATTGATTAGAAGCTCTTCAGATTGTTCTTATATTGAGAATCATTGACTTAGAGCGTAGAAGGGAAATTCATCCAGCTTTCTAAAGTTAAAGATAGTCCTTCATGCTTTGTATGTCTTCAATATTTAAGGAGGAGAACAAAGAAAATATGTATGGGTATTCTAATTTATCAGTTAGTTGGTTTAGGAACAGGCCCAGAAATCTTACCAGTACACTCTGATGTAGGTGTAATGTTTTAGTTATTTTTAAGAATTCTGCTGTAAGGACATTTCTCTCCAGATAAATGATTTTATTCCTCACTAACAGAATATTTTAGAAAGAAATTATTAATTTTTATTTTTAAAAAGCTGTCACTGTTACTCTATGCAAGACAAATTTTAGAAACACCATATAGTTCAGAGCTCTCGCTATCCAGTTCGCATAATTGGATTTGAGATGCACTTTGCTCTTAGCAACATATCTCTATAATTTTTTAGGGTGGGTCAATGATGCAGATAATTAGGGTCATTAATTTTTTCTAACTTTTACTTACTGGACTAAATTTCAGATGGTAATTAAATTTCAGACAGTAAGCTCTTCTTGACCTTAAACTCAAACTTGTATACTTCATTCTGTACTCTGTTAGAATCTTCTATTGTAATTTTCATAATTTCAATTCTCTCTTTTTTCTACAAATTTAAAATTACTATATGGATAAATATAGATACAAATGAGGAAACTAATTACACCACATACTATAATTTGGTGGCTCCTTTCTAGGAACTCAAACATACTTCCTTCATCTTTGTATGTACACGCACATCTGTGGTTAGTATGCTTATATTTATGAGTATTCTAATATTTCAAGACAAAATAAAAAGACTATTGAATTTTCAGAATGAGTTGCATTTTGCAGAAGGTTTTCACATACATAATTTTGCTTCAATGTACCCAACATTTTTTGAAATAAGCAATAAAGTTATTATAATACCTGTTTTTAGATAACTGAGAGTCAGAGAAATCAAGCATCTGGCCTAAAGCTAGTAACATAAGAACTATGCCTTTCTCTGTTTTAGCTATGTAACTTTTTAAAACTATAGTGATATACAGAGAAACTTCCACCTTTACCTTTTGAAGTGTTATCATTACAAATGTGAAGATTTATAATGCTAACTATATCATGTTATATTATAATCTGGTCTTTTGAAAGGTCAACATTTGGTTAGCAGATTTTAAAATCTATGGTTGAGTGAACATTCAGTCTTCATCTAGGAAAGATTTTTCTGTAGAGTTAAATAGCTTCTACTATTTTTAGATTGTATTTTAAAATTTTATCAAAACACATCTATAATATTATTTGATTAAATTATCATGAAGTTGTAAGAGTCACCATTGGAAGAGGATGCCTTGATTATTTCAAGGAAGGCTGCTACTCAGCATTGGTCACTAATTTTAGGATGGATAATATTAACAGAAATTTCCAGCTGTAGTTATGAATGATTGTGTAAAGTGATTCATGGAAGAGTTCAGATATAAAACTCAATTTTGTTTCTTATTGCCATAGGATCCTCCTGTTTTCTTGTTGGCTTAACATAGCTTCTGCATTTCTCGAATGCTTATATTTTTCTTTTTTTAGTCTTTCTCTGATTAGACTATAATTGTATTGCATCCCTTCTTTAGCTTCTCTTGATTTCTAATTTAGTTCTGTCTCCAGGCCAATAACTAATGGGCCATCTGTGTAATTAATGACTCTTATCTTGATCCTACAAGTCTCCAGAAGTCCATGATGGTAACTCTGACCATGAGTATTGACTTACCCAAGTTCTATGAATCTTACTAAAACTTGTCTCTATAGTTCAGTGAATATCTAGTTGGAATAGTCTCATTCTCCTCTGTTCATTAGAAACCTCATGTCACAATGACATTTTAATTTGTAGGAGCTTGGTTTCAATTTATTGAAACTTAATCCTATGAATCTATGTGAATTCTGTCTTTAGAATAACATGCTGAGCAAAACCACAGAGTCCACAGGAGAACTTGGAACTGCTTAGTAGACTTACTGG